TGCACGCGCTGCACTCGTGAACGCGTAGGGTTGGCTCGCCTTCCCACAGCCCCATCTCCATGAGCAGCTGCTTTCCTCCTTTCGGCAGGCCGATGAGAACGGCGGTGGGGCCAGTCGTCGTCGTGGTCGTTGGTGTGCATGGGAGAAATATTGGCGCCTTCATGGTCGGAAGAGGGAGGAGAGTCGTTGCCTACAGCAGGGTCCGCAGGGGGCGAAGGGGCCTTCCGAATCGTGCCGTCGGCGTTCCTTGACAGCTTGCGCTTGCCCTTTGGGCGACCCATGTGCCCGGAGCGCGTGTGCGTCTTGCGTTGCGTGCGTCAAGGGTGTGTATGTGTGTGTCCGCTGGTGTGTGTGTGGCGGGAAAAAATTCCCCGAGGGCGTGTGAAACCACCCGAAATATCTCCGAAACCCGAGTTTTTTTTGAAATCGGAAAAAAATCATCGGTGGGAAATCACGAGAGGAATCGATTGCAGCACGTTATTTTTGAATCGTACGGTTGGATTGCCCAAGAAACTAAGCAAAATACCCTCCAATATCCGGTTTTTTGCCCATAACTGCGTTATTTATTGTCAAATTGGAAATCGGAAAAAAATCATCGGTGGCAAATCACGAGAGCTGTCCAAATCCGGTCTCAGATTTTGTGTCTGCAAAAAACACCGCCCTCCAGAAAGTAAGCAAGATTTCTTGAATATCTGAACATATCGAGNAGATCCTCAGATAGATGGCTCTAGCACTGTCGTGACCACGGACTGAGAGTCTTTTGCTAGATTTTGGCATTTAGCAACTGACATACGGTTTAATGTGAAGACAACAACAACAACAACAACAACGGTTGGTTGGATTGTCCCCAAGAAACTGAGCAAAATACCCTTCAATATCCGGTTTTTTGCCCATAACTCCCGTTATTTTTTTGTCAAATTGGAAATCGGAAAAAAATCATCGGTGGCAAATCACGAGAGCTGTCCAAATCCGGTCTCAGATTTTGTGTCTGCAAAAAACACCGCCCTCCAGAAAGTAAGCAAGATTTCTTGAATATCTGAACATATCGAGCGAAGGTTTACGCGGTATTTTCAGATTTCGGAATAATAAGTACCCCCACCCCGAGAAAAGTGCACCTTTGTACAGGGGAAAATATTGTGAATATTTGCCCGAACGGACCATATGTATGTAACAAGACCCCAACAACAAGGAGCGCCTGTCCTGAATTTACGACATGATTCCGGAGACGTAACTTTCACAAATCGAAGATCTTCGCTTGCGCTGTCCCCATTGATGTTCAAAATCTTCTTCGCCGCGGTCATCGAGGTCAACGTCATATGATTCAGCGAGGATGACCTTGTTCTGCAGATGATCCTGGTGTGCTTGGCGGAGACGGTCGCGGGGGCACCACTTGGAGACCAAGTGTGGAGGGCGGTATGGGGGATGCTGTATGCCGATGACGCCGGCGTCGTATCGAGGTCTGCCGATGGAATGGCGAGCATGATGAGCGTCATCGTGGAGGTGTTCCTTCCACACGCAACAATATATGACTGCATGTATGTTTGTCTACAGGAAAATTACGATTATTTCGCCGAACCCATCCGCTCGTTGCCTGGCCTGCTGGCTCCTGCTCTCAGGATCAGTGCTGTGTGCTGTCAACAATACTTCGGGTCTCTGCATGCACCTCTGTCGCTCTGCTTATTTTTCCGCTGTCCTACACACTGTACGACCGTGGTGCCACATGGCCTGCCCCCCACCCACGGCAACGTGCGATCTCCAGCCGAGTGCCAGCTTCTCGATATCCCGACCAACAGAGTCGTTCAACTGCGTTCAACGCACCAATCGGCTGCCGCCCTGTTTTTTTTTTTGTCTTCACTTTTAATCAGCGCCCACAGCGATAGTTCCGTTTTACTCCAACCAGTGGTCACACAGAAGAGCCCCTCTCTACCCTCCCCTCCTGCGGTACTTTGCCTTCGATTTTTAATGAGAGTTCAGCACTCGCGTCCCTTTTTGTGCACACGAACTAGCGCTATCCACTAGGCCCGGAGCGGAAGCGAGACAAAAACTCACTTTGCAAGAAAAGCTCGCTTGCGCCAATTGCTTGCGCCGGGGTTCGAACCCCCTGACCTGACCTCTAGGAGGTTTCGAGGTTACCAACTAGACCATCAGAAACACACGCAAGACACGAAGAGAAAGAAAAAGATCAATATTCTGGAACACAACGGCAGTCAAAGGGCAAAAGGCAATCAACGGTAAAACGCTTTGAATCGCCACAAAAAAGCAGTGCACATGTAGTTGCTGGTCCCTCCTTTGTTTCACTTCTGGAAGCAAATACCTCTTGGTGGTCTCTGCCTTCTATGTTGGCAGAGAGGTCGGGTTTGTGCGCGCGCCTGCTGATGTAGACGTCCGCGCAGCTCATCGCAAGGATAGACCCTACCTGGGCCGCGAGAATATTTGATGGAACGAGAGCGTTGATTGCGCCGCACCGTTTTTTTGTCCGCTGATGTTGGCAATACATACCGTTGAGTTTCTCGTGGCCAGAATTAAACACCAAACAAAACCCACAGCTGTGTCTGCTGCTCTTCTTGCTGTGTGCACTTGCTCCACACCACCCACCACCCGCCCGGCACCAAACAAACGGCAGCCCTTGCTCCCGGCAAAACTGCACACGCGCTCTCTCGCAGACAGTGGGCGTTCCAGGATAGCCACGGTTCGCAGAGTTTCGCAGCAGCACACCAGTGTCTGCTTCTCTTTCCTCCTGGGCAGCCCGGAATACTGCCCTGACATAAGGCACCCGACCAAGCAGTGCACCTTCCGTTGTGACGTCCGGTAAGCACTGCTGTTACAGACACAGGAAACAGAGAGTAGTAAGTAGCAAGAGGGGGAGGGAGAGAGAGAGAGGTGCACACACAGGAGAGGCAGAGAGACCAGCGGCCCTGCGCAAACGGATTCCGAACAGCTACTTTTCTATTTTGAGCAGCGCGGCCCGACGATGGTAGACTAGTGTTCCTGTTTTGATCCGCTTGGAAAATTGAGCGTTGGTGTGACAAGATACATTGGTTGGCAGACGAAGTACATATATATGTACATACAACACATGGACCATGTGCAAACGCGAGACTATGCCCGGCATGGTCTCTTTTGGTACTTTCTGTGAGGTCCGAAGTTGCATGTGGATTTCTGCGGTAGATGTGGATTACATACGTTTAGGTACACTGTCTGTGCCATCAGTAGAAAGCCAGCAGTAAACTAGTACTTCCGTAGCAAATACCCTGCTGTAGAAGCGAGTAGGGCGGCCAAGGCCGCGCTTGCGGCGAACGACGTACCCAACTGATGATGTTGTCGCACCCTGTGTTCCCGTGTTCCCTTTTCCCTGCCGTAACCTGTATGCTCTTAGTATTGCCTCCGGCCTCTCTTTGTGCTTTTCTTCTTTCTTTCTTGCTCTCCATGCCCTCTCTACGATGATCTTGGACGATACCTCGAGCTCCTTGTTATTTTTGTTTTTCTTTTGCTGGCTGGCTGCCACCTCTGCTGCCTCTTTGGTGCGGTGCCTACCCTACACTAATGCGCTGGTGCATACTGCACTGCTGTAGTACCTGGTACTGGTGTACGTTGTCCTTCGATTTTTTATTTTTTTTGTGGGAATATATATGTGTTTGTTTTTCGCCCCCCGTCTTGCTGCACCCCCTGGGGTGTGGTGCAGGGCGGGGGATGCCTGGTCGGCGGGAACCCGGCACGGAACCCTCCGGCGTTGTAGGCGGGTGTGGGAAGCGTTCCCCGTTCTCCTTTTATTTTATTTTGATCGGTCTCCTCGACGCTCTTTCTCGTTTGGTGCGGTAGCTGGTCTTTCTTTCTATCATTTTGTTTCTCTTCCGAGTGGTTTTTGTACCCTATTTTTTTCTGTTTCTTCGTGGGGTCGTGTATGCCGGGTTTTGAGACCACGGGCTCCCAATCTTTCTTTTATAGAGCTAATGTGAGAACCAACAACAACCCTGACCAGCACACCACCTCACTTAGGGCCGACTCTCTCCAGGGCCGCCAGCACCAAGCAAAACAAGCAAAGATCTGTGTCGCGAATTATGGAGTAGCGACACATGGCGTACGTGCCCAGTAGATCTGTTCCTGGGGCCTTGCTGCCTAACTTTCTAACCCTAAGACTGAAACTGTGGTTCGAAAAGGAAGGCGGGTCCATGCACACGACTCACGATAAACAGTCTACATGCAACGCGAAGTCAGCGACCAAACCTCCCCGACTGCTGGTCCCCCAAGACATTGCAGTGGTGTAAGCTACCAATTGCAGGTGATTGGGCCTGTGGCGGCGCATACAGCAGCGAATCGTGATTGGTATGGAGCCAGTTTTGCTGACTTGTTTTCGTACCGCAGCTGCAGCCTTCGAACATCAAACCAACAACAGATTACAGGGTCGCGCGGTCTCTGCTCCATGATGTTCTCTGCTGGAGAATACGATGTAGATAGAGCTTCTTCGATGTTGGGACTCTGCAAGCTGGATCGTCGTGTTGGAATCACCACATAACCCAATCCAGCAGTTTTTCACCGCAGTGGACACGCAGTGCGAAATCTATTCTGCTTTCGCAAGAGGGAGTCCGCCACATTCGCGAGTGTGTGCAATGTTTTGAGCGGTACCCTCTTGCGACAACGTCTGCTTCTGTTGCACAGTTTTTGCGGCCACGGCGATTTTCGAAAACCGGGGTCGTTCCATCAAGCTCTGTTCGGCGAGCCGCAAGCAGTACACACACCTGAGATTCTCCCTATCTCAGCATTTTTTCGAAAAAATCTGCGACCCGGCAGGGCCGCAGGCATCTTGTACTCTCTCCTTTGTACAAGACTCCCGTTCCGAGATATAGCCACAGTCGAACGGGATGTGTTGAGTCTTTGCAGTGAGTGGAGGGAAACCTGCTGGGTGTGTTGTCTTGTATATCTCCATCTCGTCATTGCTCTCCGTGTGTTTCTTTCTTCTTCTCCCCCGTGCGTTCTTGTAAGCGTGTTTGTTTTCGTATATCCATCTCGTCATTGCTCTCCGTGTGACTCTCTCTTCATCCTCCCCGCACATTCTTGCAGGCGTGGTTGCGGCAATGTTTCTGCCGGACAGGAGGGCTAGCAATACCGACGACGTGGAACTGGGCAACCATACCAGGTCGCCGTCGCTGGAATCCGCTTCAGCCCACGACGGCAGCAGTGGCAGCAGTAGGTACGGCAAGAACAACCGCGGCGACGACGGCCGCGCCAGACACGACCGCACCCCGAACTCCTCGGGTAATGTGGAGAGCAACCGCAGAGACCGCTCGACCCGTCGTGCCATCGACGGCGACGGCAGTGGCCGCGGCGCGCCCGGCCACGGCAGACGGCGCAGCGGCAGTCGGAGCCCCAGCCGGAGCTCCAACCCGGACGGCGGCGACCGGAGCGGTCGAAAATATCGCCACGTTGGCGACGGCAACGGCAGCGTTCGGGGCAGAACCCTCGGAACCGAAACCGACGATGACGCGGGAGGACTGCTGGAGGGAAGCAGCTACTCCGGCATGTCCGGGATGATTGTCGTCGACCGCATCAACAACGACCGCGGCGCGTCCTCGAGAAACATTGGCGGCGCCGGGAAGAGCGCGAGTGGCCGCTCAGAGGGCGGCCGAGGCGGATTTGGTGCCGATGGAGGTGGTAGCGGCATGGGCGGGAGGGGGCAGGAGCCTGCGGTGCAGAGGAACGGGTGCATGAAAACGTCGAGGGCGTTGAAGCTGGTGAGCATATATACGTGACGTGCGACGACGCCTTCCTCCCTTGGAGCGAGCTTAGAAATGAATGAAGGCTGCACGTTTCGTCACGAGATGCTTGCTCCCTTGATCGTACTCGGACCACCCACTGCGTGTGTGTAGTCGGCTACCTCATCCTTTAGCGCCCCTTGTGAAGCTACCGTGTATGTCCATCCGTCATCTTAGCTCTGACCTTTTTGAGAACCCCCAAGCTCCAATATGGAAAAGCACAAGCTGAGAGTCGGGTCGTAGAACGTGTGCGGGTTCGCAAAGAGTGAGCGCAAGCGGTTGGAAATAGTGGACCAAGTAGAACAAAGCGATGTAGATGTAGTCGGGATCCAAGAGACGTGGGAATTGAAGGGTGGGGATGTGGTAAGCAAACTAGGGAAATACCGGTGGGTGGGGAAGGCAAGAAAAGGCTCCGACCCGAAGAAAAGGGGGGAGGGGGGAGTCGGATTCCTGGTCAGGGAACACTTGTTTGACGTGGTGGAAGTAGTGGTGAAAACGGAGTTCGAGGAAAGCCTATGGCTGAAGATACCTGGGGAGCGGGGTGAGAAAGATTTGTGTCTAGGGAACGTATACGTCCCACCGTCGTCGACGAAAGTCGCAAGCAAGGCGCAGGAGAACTCTGGACAAATTGGGGAAGATGTCCAGAGGTTCAGTAGGAAGGGAGAAGTTGTCATGGTGGGCGATTTCAACTCCAGAGTAGGGAAAGCTTCCAGTAGAGGACAGGCGATCGGGCAGCACGGAGAAGACAAAGTGAATGACAACGGAGTGAGGATGCTTGAATTCTTGGGAAGCAACGAACTGATGGTGTTGAACGGTAGGAGGGAATGCGATAAGCCGGAGTTCACAAGGCAACGGGCAGTTTGCAATGAATACTCAATCCTCGACTACATCCTGGTAGACAGGGGGAGCACGCAGATCCCAGAGCTGCACATAAGTGCGATAGATATAGGTTCGACCGACCACTTCCTCATATGGGCAAACATCGACCGATCCAGAAAGATCAAGAGTAAGAAACAGAGGAAAGTGTTCCGGTGGAAGGTAGAGCGTTTGGGAGACGATGGGACACGGGATGAATTCCAGAAGGGGCTGGCTGGTAGTGTAGAATCCTTCAGGAAACTGTTGAGAAGCGTCGAAGACGGACAGGTAGACGTACAGACAGCAGGGGACAGGGTGATTGAAGGGTGGGAGTCCATCGTGAACGCAACGGCAGAGAGAGTAGTGGGAAGGAAGGTGGTACGATGTGGGGTATCGGTTAAGTGGTGGGATGACGAGCTGAAAGAAGAAATAGGGGAACGTAGAGAAGTCTTCAAGCAGTACCTGAGTGAGGCGTCTGAGGAGAGTTGGGAAAAGTACAGGGCCAAGAGAAAACAGGTGAAGGGACTAGTGAAAAAGAAGAAAAAGTGTATTTGGGACGAAGTAGTGCAGAAGGCCAACGGAGGCCTGGAGGGAAACGTCAAGCAGATGTGGGAAGGGATTAGTGGAATGGTAAAAAAGACCGCGCAAGGGGGGGATACAGGGGTCGCAACTTTGCGAGGTGTGAACGGTGGATTAGTCAGCAGTGGGAAGGGAAAAAGGGAAGTTCTAGCAGGACACTACAAGAGACTTGGAGTGCCCTCGGAGAATGAAGCTTTTGACCAAGCGTTTAAGAAGGAGGTGGACGCATGGGCCCAAAAAGAAGAAGAGACATCGAAGGCAGACGTTGGGAACGTAGAACTAGAAAAGGAGTTCACTGAGGACGAGGTTGAGGCGTGTGTGAACAAGCTGAAGTGCCACAAAGCAGCAGGAGCGGATGGGATAGTCAACGAGTTCATGAAGTTTGGGGGGAAGGGGATGATCCAGCTGATGGTACTGCTATACAATTGGGTGTGGAAAAACGAGTATACGCCAAGTAGATGGAGGGAAGGAGTGGTTGTGAACTTGTTCAAGAAAGGAGACAAGACTGACCCAGGAAACTACAGGGGGATCACACTGTTGAACACAGTAGGAAAAGTGTTCTGTAAGCTGCTGAACGATAGGATAGTGGGAGTATTGGAGAAGGAACATAGCATTAGTGAGGGCCAGGCAGGTTTCCGCAAGAAGAGGGGGTGCGTAGACCACGTGTTCACGGTAGGGAGAATCATCCAAGGTAGAAAGAGGGCGGGAAAGCCGACGTACTGCTTCTTCCTGGACGTGAAAAAGGCATACGACACCGTATGGAGAAATGGGTTGTGGAAACAACTGTCCAAATACGGGATCAAGGGGAAAATGTGGAGAGTGCTGAAGAAGATGACAGAGTGTACGAAAAGCGCGGTCATGCTAGACGGAGAACTGTCAAAATTCTTCGACATTGAGCAGGGGGTCCCACAAGGTTGCACGCTGTCCCCAACATTGTTCCAGGTGTTCATCAACGATCTGTTGGAAGTCGTAGAGGCAGTCCGGAAGGGAGTAAAAGTAGGGGACACGGAAACGTCGGTTTCAGGAATGCTGTTTGCGGATGATTTTGTCGGTATGTCGGACACCCCTGAGGGACTGCAACTGCAAATTGACGCGGCGAAGAAGTTTACTGATAAGTGGAGATTGTCTGCCAACGTTCAGAAGAGTGCCGTCATGGTATGCAACGAGAACAAGGAGGAACCAGTAGAACATAGATGGAAGTGGGGGATCGAGGAGATTGCAGTAGTGGACCAGTACACATACCTCGGAGTAGAGATCGCAAAAGACTGCTCGTGGAATGCACACATGTCCAAGGTAGCGGAAAAGGGCAAAGCACGAGCAGGGAAGCTGCACCCAATACTCGCAAACCGGCACCTCGATACACGCATCAAATTGACGGTTTTGAAGAGCGTAATCGTACCGCCGCTAGAGTACGCCGGAGAAGTATGGGAAGGAAATAAGAAGGTAGTGAAAGAACTCGAGGCGGCGCAGATGAAAGCAGCGAAAACCATCCTAGGATGCTCCAGGCGCACAAGTAATGCAGCCGTGAGGGCAAAATTGGGGATACGATCCCTACGGTCGGGAAGAGACGCGAGGAAGCTGACCTGGCAGTATCGCATGTGCGGGATGGGAGAGGAGAGGTTGCCGAGAATTGTATGGGAGGCGAAGTGGGCAAACAAAAAGAGGGGTAGACAACCCACGGAATGGGTCAAGGTTGTAGAGGACGTATGGAAGGGGCTCGACATCGACGAAGATGAAACGCTGGAAACGGAGGGTCTACAGGGGTTCAAGGAGAAGATATCTGTTGCTTGTGCCGAGAGAGAAGAACAGGTCTTGAGGAAAGAATCCAAGGATAAGGAGGGTCTAGAAGTGTACGGAGTGTTGAAGGAAGGAATAGGGTTCAAGGACTACCTACATGGACCAATGGATGCAGAAACAAAGCTTAAGGTCAAATTCAGGACCGGGGACATAGGCCTTCGAGAACGTCGACGAAGACATAGGACGGTAGACGAGGAAGACGACGAGTTCAAATGTGATTGCGGCTTCGAATGCGAAGACCGTGTTCATGTAGTCGCGGAATGTCCGTTGTACAAGAAGGAGAGGGAAGTGTACGTGACTGAGCTGGGAAAAATAGATAACACGTGCAGGGATATGTTTGAGGCATGGAATAGAGAGGAAAGGACGGTAGCTGTACTGGGGCATAGGAGGTGGGATCGTTCCTGTGGGAACAATGCTCCGTCCTCTCGAGGACGCGTGGTCAATAGTCTAACCGCTAAGGCATGCAAAACATGAGAGCCCCCCCCCCCCCAAGCTCAGGCCTGCCGCAGGGGCATTGGATCACGTGGTACGGAGATTTGAATTTGAAGTAGAGTGAAACTTGCTTTGACGTGAAACGCTACTTCCGGCTGTGGTGGTTGGCTGCACCGGGTCGTGATTCCCTTCACTCACACCGCCTGTAGCCTAAATCACTTTTCCCTCCACATTGACGCCCTCCACCTGCCCCCTCGTCAAAGTTTATGTGACCCCCATCCTTTCTGTCCTTCGTTTTTTCCAACTATCCATACTCCGCCACAGATCACCCTGGCAATCGCGCTCGTCAACGTCGTGACTCTGTGGGGGTGGCATTACGACACCCGGGCGGGGAGGCTGTGCTCGATCAGGTGAGCAAAACCCGTGCTATCTATCCAATCGACTCACGGGGGGCCGCGAATGATTGTGCCATGTTTTGTTGCGCGCGCCTGGTGTGCCCTACCGGTGAAGCGTCGAGAGATGAGGGTATCGCCGAAACCCATAAACCGACGATTTGCTGCTGTGGAAAAGCATGAAAAATTGGAGCTCGGCGAATAGGCACGAGCCGACGGGTTGCTGTGGTTGATGCTTCGACTCGGCGACCCAACTGTCGAAACCCGGAACCGTCGTAGGCCCTCTGTAAGGCGGGGTTTAGGCGGGTACCCGCCATAGGGTGGGTGAAATCTCTTGGCATAGATGGAATATGCAAGACGGCGGTTAATACATACAATAGTGCGAGTGCCCTGTACCATAGGGCGAGTGAATCGGTTGGCGCATACCCGCCTTTTAGAGGACCTACGACTGAACATGAAGAAAAATAGTTGGCCCGCCGTCCACGCCATGACCCACTAGAAATGACAGAGAGTCTATGCGCACGGTAGTGTCACGGGAAGTGCTTTTGTCGCACTTCAGTCAGACAGGCACGCAGGCAGCTAGCTCCTCGGTACGTCATCATGCGTACGTATGCTATAATACCTGGGCCTCGACACGCTATGTAGCAGTTACAACAGACCAATGCCGGCCGATTGCCGGGTATTGCCCCGAAAGGGTCATTTCGAGACGAAACAACCCGAGGACCACCGCCAGAACTGCCACGCGAAAAAACGCGGTCAGCATGTCGTCATTTCATCACCCCAGGGATGCCCATATCGAACATTTCCGAAGGGAGACCACCTTATGAACTTCGTATCTGCTCTCGACTGTTTTCTCCTTGGTGGCGTATGTATTAGTTTGGCACGTTCTTCGACCATATGATTCACAAGGAGCGGTTTAATGTGTAACCCTCATCGCGATAAAGTTTGGAGGCAGGAGTCGCCGACGGGACTGTGCTTGTGACCCAGGCTTGGACGCCCGAAAATGATGACACGCAAGAAGTAAAGGTGCCCACAGGCGTCCAGTATGGGTTGCATGAAGGAAGAACCATCGGAAGTGGCAAAGCAGGGTCGCAAGAAAGCGAGCGGGGAGCGAAATTGTGGCTGAAGCATTTTACATTTGGGGTTGTTGGACGGCGATTCTGCCCCTTGCCTCCTGGGCGACGACGTGAAGTCAACGGCGGGATGAAATGGTCATGTAGATCCATTGCCGCTCCCCACCCTCGCCATTGATCGGTCCTGTGGGAACAACTCTCCGTCCTCTCGAGGACGCGCGACCAAGAGAACGCGTGACCAGTGTTCTAACGGCGAAGGACAAAGAAGATGAGTACGCCCCCCCCCATCCCCCTTGTTTTTCCCCCGGTTGCTGTACGTTGCCAATGCCAGGAACCGGCGAGCGTGCGTGACGTCCGGCCCCGAGATGGCCCTGATTACGGTCGCGAGGCTGACAGCCGGGGCGCTGTTCCCGAGCATCATCTTCTGCGTGCTCGCCAAGTGCTACGCCACGCGCTACCTCTTGCACCACAGCTGGCTGACCTTGATCATCGACTTCGAGCCCTCGCACAAGCTCCACACCTGTGAGTATTTTTTTTGCGGGGTGCGTCCCCTCGATGCTTCGGTCATTATCGGCGTATGTACAATCGTGCGCCGTCGTGATGGGTCCCTCGCTCGCTTAAGGGTTGTCGTGAACCTATCGGTAAGTTTCGTGGAAATTTCTTGGTGGTTGTGGTAGCGCTCGGTTGATTTCGTGTCGGGGTTGTGGCTGTGGCGGCGGCGACAATTAGTCTTGGTTTTGGTAAGTAGGGCAAGGGGTGACGCGTTGTGATACAGGTGTAGTGCACAGACGGTGTTTCGCTGACCACTTTGGAGCATGTTCAAGTCCGAAGCAGCTCCATTGTTAAAAGAGCTCATCGTGTCACAAGAACACACGCAGGCATACCAGTAGCGTACCGAATCATTTGGTGTTGTGCTTCTCCCATTCTCTCTCCCTCTGTCTTGTCTTTTCTGTCTGTCTCGTTATATATCTCTCTCTCTCTTCTGTCGATAGACTTTGGAGTGCTGATTCTGCTCTGCAGTGTCGTCCACAGCGCGTGCCACATCGCGGTCGGCGCCCTGCAACGCCGCGCGGACTACGCCTTCGAAAACGAGATAAACCGCTCGGGCGTGGTGGCTATGCTGCTGCTCTTGCCGATAGCCCTGCCCATGACCATGAGGTTGGCTAAAGCAAAAGTGAGAAGACGTGTTTTGTGCTGTCTTTGCTCTGTTTCGGGTATCTCTCCCGGCATCATCTTGGTCTCCGGGCGTTGTAACACCCCAGGTCCCGGAAGAGGTTTACAGATCTCTGGCTCCAACTGGCTTTTCGCTGCCCCGTGTTGTCGCCCGTTGTTTCGCACGTGACAACGAAACACCCCAGCTCACGTTCGAGGTGAGGAAGTACCTGCACCTGCTGTTCATGCCGTTCATGATAGCCGTCTGCTTCCACGGGAGGGCGCTCCAGATCCTGGGCGCCATCCTCCTCGCGTGGTACCTGCTGGACCGCTTGTACTTCACCACGAAGATGTCAGTGTCTCCGCCCTCGGCACGTGATCTCGTCCCTCTTGTTTGAATGGTGATTGGTTGCGCTCCTTCCAGCCATTCAGTTTTTTTTTTCGAGGAAGCCATGCGCCTGGTCACGGGTCAAGTTGTGGCGTCCCCGGCGTGTGCGCGCGTGTGTGTGTTTTTTTTACTCGCCGGGTCTCCGATGACGCACCATGTTGAGGTCGTCCGCCGGCCTGTCTTCGAGGTGACGCTTGTTGGCGCCGATGCACCGACAGTACATGAGCATCGTCCTTCGTAGATCCGTCTACGCACTCCAGCTTCTACCAACCCCCCCCCCCCCCCCCCCCCCCCCCCCCCCCCCCCCCCCCCCCNAACACCCGCGCATGACACCAACCGAACCAAAATCTGGTGTGTGAAAAGGTGCGCGAGAACTACCCCCCTCCCCCCCCCCCCCCCCCCCCCCTCAACTGCCGCTCGCCCGCCCGCCCCCTTTTCGATGGAAACCTCGCAGGACTTTCCTTCTGAGCTCGCCGGTTTACAAGCCGGTCGGGAGGGGCACTCTTGTCCGGTTCGAGCTTCCTCCGTGAGTCAGGGTCCGCCGCTACGCTCGGCGAACTTGCTCCTCTTTAGTGTTTGTTTTTTGTGGTTACGTCTGTCTGTGTGTACAAGTGTTGGTGTCACCCGTTGCCTCTTCGTTGCGGTTCTCAGGATAGTTCGCTCATCGACTGGGGCATGCTGCCCGTGCTCCTTTCCTCCACCTGAAACCGGCCGGTATAACTAGGGTAGAAACCGGGTGGTTAGGTCTATGACAAGAGGACTATTACAGGGTTACAAGCACGGTGTAGAGTTCGGATAAATGTCTTGCCTCAACCCCCGCCACTACCCCAGACCTGAACATTGACAACACACCCGATACATATCAAGGACACACCCACCTGTCTAGTTTAGGGTGTGATTGAAGTGTGGTGTGTCGTCTCGATTTTCCGTGTTACTTATTTGTGGTTCGGCAGCGGGTACCAGTACAAGCCCGGCGCGTACGTTCAAGTGAACTGCCCGGCGATAAGCGTGTCCGAGTGGCACCCCTTCTCCCTCTTCCCGGTGCCGGGGCCCCGCCCAAGAGCGGGTTTCCACGTGGAGGCGGTGAGTGTTAGGATTACGAAGTTTTTCGTATCGACCAACGACGTTGGGCCTACATGCTCTCCCCGTAAAGTGAGGGGCACCCGAGATCTGTTGCTCGGAGCCCCGGTTATTCCAACCCAAGAAGGATGCATTTCAAACTGTTTGACGTGTACGAGAAAGCGTGAGGCTATTCCGTTTCCGACGACAGGGTTAACTTTCCCACGTTGGGGTGGTGGGTGTCGGGATAACGTAGCCGCAAGCCAGACCCGAAGACAAACGTGTGCGGGGGAGCCACGTGCATTGCTGTAGGAGAACTCTCCCGCGAGACACCGGCGAGACTTTCCCCCTTCGTCAGCTGTCGAGGGATGGAGTGCGCGCCGATTGGCGTTGTCGTTGCTGTCTTCCCAAACAGTAGGCCTTCTGCCGGGCCACTGTTGTATCTGAGCGTGGTACGTACGGGATATGTTACTATGTTGGGACTTGCGCTTTTTGTGATGGTTTTCCGACCCTGCGTGTACGTTTTCTTTCGATTTGTTTTTTGTAGAAGCTTTTGTGCGCCCTGCGAATGACTGAATCGCATCCGATGGGGTATTGCACGATTGATTGTTCTTAATTACTGAGAGCTACTGTTCGCTCCATCGAATGGTTGTACGTACCGCTTCAGGTGGGTGACTGGACGAATGAGATGTTCCGATTCTGCCTCGAGAACCCGCAAATGCCGCTGTGGATCACGGCCGCGCAGCCCAGCGTGATGGAAAAGACCGTGTACTTCGAAAACGGTAAGATCGCGGCGTCGAAGGGGGCTCGACGACGAATCGAGGGACAAAAAAGCGAATCGTGTGTGTGTCCCACTTCACCCCGCCCGCGCAAGGGCAGCGATGATGAAAGCGTCCAGAGGCAGCCTTTCTCGACCCACATACGCTTGCCAGGAGGGCTTGAACTACACCAGCGGTTCCTAACTGACAGGGAACGAGTAAGCCTGCTCTCTTCTTGCCGATAGAGCTGGTGGTGCCATCCATGTAATTCGGCTTGCTTTGCTTGTTTTTTTTTTCGTCGAGGGGTTCCAACCCTTCATATGTTCACCGTCCTCTGACCGCAACTCCCCCCCCTTGTGGCTGCCGCGTTCTTGCTATGTGTTTCCATTTCTCTACGCTGCTGCTGCTGCCGCCGCCGCTAACGAACGGCCTGCTATCCAACGGACCGAACGGCGCAAAGTGCTGCTCGTCTGTACTGGAGCGGGCATCACTCCTGCCGTATCCGTCGCTGAGAGGTGACCGTCCATTTCGCTCATGCAAGACCCAATAAAATGTTGCGCGAAATTCCGCTGCGAGCTTACGCTAGGCTAGTGCCGCACACCACTCAAGAACCCCGGTGACCTCTAACGTTTTGGATTCTTTACGGGTTAATTGATTGGGTATGTTATTGTGTGTGTGGGGGGTGATATCTTCTGTCGCGTATTGCATGGTTCTGAAAGGTGATGAATGTATCGAGCTCATTTTGGCCCGCAACAAATTTTTCGGGCGCCATCATGTGCGCACTCGCGGGTGTGTGTTATCTTGTGTCATGTGCAATACTCGGAGGCAATCGAGCTAGAAACAGTGGAAGCGTCCATCCACCGTCGATGACGTTGATTGCGGTGCACTCATCCCCCGCTCAACAACGTCCTTCCGCTTCGACGCAGTGCGGCGCGCTACTATTTACAATCTATGCCATATCAAACGGATTTGCGCGTAGGCATTCGCTTTTTGGATTTTTTTGTCAATTAATTTTTCCTGCCTCGATCGAGTGCATCGTCGAGATCCGCGTGTCAGCGGTTTGAATATGCTACCGGGAAAAACATCACGAAAGAATGGGTCCGATGCATCCCCGGCGTTTCTTCCCCGATGGGCTCGAGGTTTCTCGCTTTGAGTCGTGGTTTCTTGGCTGTCATTTCGAACGCCACGCACCGCCTTCCGGTGCGTATGCATGTGTGCGTGTGACAAATGCTTAGGTCCTATGTATGTACAACATGATGCGTTTCAGGTTCCAGAAGAAGAAGAACATCCACCTCCTGTGGTGCTGCCGGGACGCGGGAATGGTCGCCATGTTTGAGAAACAGGTCTGTTGGTTATTTCGCGTTTACTTCGAACCGATTACACCTTCAACACACCAACCCTTCACGGATTTTCATTGGCGTTGACCGCGCTAACCGGCTGACTGATGAAAATTTGTCAGTCTCGGTGCGGCTAAAGTTGAAAGGCGCGTCGAAGGCCATTCTCCGGATTCTAGGATAGAAAAGGCAGCAGATGAACAGAGACGCACGTGTGTCTACCGAGTGTATGTGGGCGTGCTTGCGTGAAACAGTTGTGCATGCTTTGTCCATGGACGCCGCAACGGACCAGACCTTGCGTTAGCGGCACTCACTTCTTGGCTGTATTGTTTGGGAGACAATCGGTTTTATGGCCGGCGCAAGCTTCAGTTGGTGCTCCGAGAACAGGTAGAATATGTTCCTCTTTGCTAGAACGCGAAGTTTGTGGTGGGGACAAGATAGCCAGCGCACCCAAGGTGCTGTAGGCTGTACCCGTGTTGGGAGGCGTAAGAACGTTTGTACGATAACGCGTAGTTGGTTGGCCAGGGCGTGCTCATGTCGGGTACGCCTCTCTCTTTTTTTTTGTTCCAAGTGTCGATAGATTCGGGCATAGCGTCGTCGGCCATGTGTTTTCATGTTTTCATGCCGAGATGCTCTCGGGAAGGGATATGGATTGCCTCGCGGACCGCTATCTGTCGCGCCGCCCGCCGCCCAAACAACCCCTCCCTCGCTACCTCTCTACTGGTCTGTCCACCACGTCGTCAACAAAAACGGTAACCGTCGAAACACAGTTGCGCCGCGTCAAGAGCACCGTTTTCCTGACCGGGAAACCGACGAACAAGACGAAGAAGCGGATGGTCGACCTCCTCGCGCCGTCGAGAGGCGACGTCGTGGCCGCCACCGCGGGCACCTCCACCTCCAGATCGTCTTCATTGCGCGGGGACCCCGCGTGCGCTCTCGAGGACGGCCGCGGTGGCGGCGGCGGCGGGCCAGAGTGCTCGAACCTCAACGCAGACCTGGACGACTATTTGGGAGTGCTGAAGGACGACTTCGAGGGCAGCGGCAGGACGGAGCGCGGTTCTTTGGACGGGGATGACGACGGCGGAGACGGGTCGGTGATGGGGTACTCCGCCTGGGGGGGCGATTCCATCCTGGGGGGAAGGGAAGGGTCCGCGCTGGGGTTTTCTTCTGCACACGGAGGGAGCGCTCTGGGGGGGATGGAGCGCACCGAGGTGTGTTGGTTGTCGCGAAGAGTTGTGCGGTGTGGCGGAGCATCGCCCCCATGGTCTTTGGCGGGTGTTGGTTGCTATTCCTCCGAATAGAATGGTGTGAGAAAATAGTGACCGAAGAGCAACAAAGTAGCAGGAGCTTGTGGGCGTGGTTCTGTTCCGGTAGCGTGTGTGCATTGCGCCTTCGGAGAGCTCTCGTGGACAAACACAACACCTCTCTACAACCCTTAAAAAAAAAAATCGAGGGGAAGATTCGGCAAGAGGGGATATTGTCCTGAAAACTTCGTACCCACGCCCCACTGCCCGGTTTCGACGTCCGTATCACGAGGTATGATGCAAAGCGATTCTAGCAAGCCCCTTTCCTGATCGTGTTTTTCTCGCGAACGCATACACACGCATGTGCGTCCTTTCCCCAGGCTGCCGCCGCTCGGAGAGCAGAAGAGGAACGAACAGCAGCATCGAAAAAGCGACACCTCGGCCAACCGTCCGCCGGCCAGCTGCAGCGCGCGCGCGGGTACCACCCGGTGTCGCTAAACTTCGGGAGGCCCGACATCGCGGCGTTCATCACGGGCACCGTCAGGGGCACCGCCGTCGTGGCCCAGTGGGCGCCCCCCGTCGAGTCGCGGCCGCCGCCGCCTTCGTCGTCGTCGCCACAGCAACAGCCCACCGCCGGCGGATTGCGACAGGTGTGCGTCTCGGGGGTACAATGCGTCTTGTGCTGCTCACGGTGGTTGGGTCTTTCGGGGAGGTGGAGGCACTTGGAGCGTCGTAAGTACCTGCTGTTTGCGGCAGGGATCGTTGGGGAGTTTCGCTATGCACGCTCCCACTGGCTGCGCACCTTGACCGTTCCCGTGCGCATTGTAGAGTTGACGGCGGGGAAAGGGATGGTGACAGGTGAGCGGAGTGCATGCATGCCAGATCGCAGATGTAGCGGCGGCCACAAAGGCCGATGTCTCGTGCGGCCCTCTACGTCGTTCCAATGCGCTCCGGGTACTTTCATAGCTATCCTATGTGCCAACGCCATGTATATGCCTCGTAACTTCGAGGTCTCAAGAAAACGTTACCATTGGTGAGTTCCTCCCCGTGACACCCATTGCATCCTGGTCCGTACCAAGCTGAGTGCCAGCATGTTGTTTTTTTTTCAACCGGCTTGTGGGCGCGTGTCTGTCTGGCTGTCCAGATGCTGACGAGGCTGAACACCGGGCAACGCATCTCGAAGAGGGACCTGATGGAAGCCGACCTTACCGTGGTGAACTGCAGCCTTGCCAAGTCGAAGAAGGTCAGCCTATTGCCTAAACAAATGTTGAGAACGTAGCCTCGGAGGTGCCTAACGTTATCCTTCCTGGTGCGAACGGAATAAAGATGGATATGGACAGAGCAGTACCGGCTCAGGCGAGCTCAGCTCTTGGAAGAGTTGATTGATGAGGTATTGTTTTGCTTTTGGATGGGGGAGGGAGGGCTTTGTTGCAGCTGCTTCGTGGGCGTTTGTGTGCATGGCGTTCACCGAGGGAATCGCTTGCCGCCCCTCAGGTCCCTGTTGGCACGTAAATCGCGGACCTTCCGGGCCATTTCGAACGCCGGTTCATCTCTTGAATGCACAGGTCATTGGTTTAGTATGACGGCCTGGCATGCAAAATATGGGCGCGCTCTCTCCGCCCCGGCTACGGAAGGGGTGCTCTGGTCAAGGTTGTGCGATCGTCGCCTCCGCGTAGAACGCATACGCCTCCTTCGGCCAGGAGTTTCTGTGTCTGCCGTACCGTACTAGCCCTCGTGTCTCGGCCATGAAAAATCCCGTTTTGTCCCCCCCCACCCCTCCCCCCCCCCCCCCCCCCCCCCCCCCC